CAGCCGGAGCATCCCTCCGGCACGCACCCCCGCCACATACTCGCCGGGAACCAGAAACTCGACCACGTCCTCCTCACACTTCCGGTGCGAGGAGATTACGTCATCAGGCACCGGCCGCGGGGCGGGGCGGAGGCGGGGCCGGTCGTGGGGCGGGGCGGGGACGGGGCGGGGACAGGGCGGGGTGGCCGCGGATAGTAGATGGAACCAGTGGGGCCTTGGCCTGGGTGCTAGAACCTAGTCTGATTCCAGTCTGGCTAAACTGGATGAATGGGTGGATGGAAGAGAGGGAGGGAGGGAGGGAGGGAGGGAAGGAGGAAGGGTAAGTGAGGCTGCACTCCTTGTTCTAAGATGCATAACTCATGCAGGTCATGGTCCCCCTTGACTCTCCCAGCAGGTGTATAGCCCTAGCAAAATGAGAGATGAGGAATACCACAGTGTCAATCCGGCAATATAATGAAGTGAATGAAGCAAGTCACTGAAGATAGATACAAAATCCTTTTTAAAAATCCTCAAACAACTAGAATTTTTAAAAATACACATGCCAGGCATGATGGTGCATGCCTATAGTCCCAGCACTCTGGAGGCAGAGACTGGGGGATCTCTGTGAGTCTGAGGCCAGCCTGGTCTACATAAGGAATTCTAGACCAGCCAGGGCTACAGAGTGAGACTCTGTCTATAAATAAGTAAATAACTGCTGACCTTGAAAATAATCATAAAGCAACATAAGAACTACATGCAAAAATAATGTATTTCAACTCTGGGCTTGCAACTAATTTACATTTTCTTGCAAGCTTTTTTCATAAAAAATTTGATAACAATCTCATGTTTCTGAAACACTTTAATATTTTCCAAAATATGCTGTTTTGGAGAGAAAACTGTGGGGCTGGAGAGATGGCTCAGCAATTAAGAGTGCTTACTACACAATCCTGCAGATTGGAGTTCTGATCCCAGTACCCATATAACAAGCTGGGTCTCTGCACGCCTGTAATCTCAGCTCTGAGTGGGGAGGATCACTGGGGCTTTCTGGCTAGGAAACAGTCTAGCCAAGAAAACTGAGCCCCAGGTTCAGGGAGAGACCTTGCCTCGAAAGAAGAGGTAGAGTAACACTGTGATGGTTAGTTTAATCGACTTGCCACAACCTTGAACACCCTGGGAAGAGAGCCTCACGATGTGCTGTCTATGTCAGGTTGACCTGCTTGTTTGGGTTGTCTTGATTGTTTTAAGTGAAATGGGAAGACCCATGCATTTTGGGCAGCACCATTCCCTGGGTTTGGGTCCTGGACTGTAGAAGTGTAGCGAGGGCTGCATTCATTGTCTCTCTGCTCATGACTGTGAATGTGACTTGCTGCCTTGGCTTCCCACAATAATCGACTGTGCCCTGGACTTGTGAGTCAAACTAACACTTCCTCCCCTAAGTTGCTTTTTGTCAGTGTGTTTTATCATGGTAACAGAAATGAAACTAAAACACACACTTATGGTCTTCATGCTTGGTGAGCATCAGCACACATGAGTACACATGCACCATACACTCATATATAGCTCCTGGGAATCATTCCTTTCTTTGGACATGTGACCAGGTGTGGTGGCACAGGCCTGTAATCCCAGCATTTATGAGGCTGAGGCAGGAAGTCAGCCTTGGCTACATAGGGAGATTGTGCCTCAAACAAAACAAAACATGATCTGGCATCATGTGTATACTCAGTGGGCTAAATATATGCCTTTTTTTTTTAAGAGATAGCGCCTCCCCATGCAGCCCAGGCTCGTCTTGAACTGGAAATTCTCCTGCCTCAGCCTCCAGAGTGCTGGGATTGCTGGTGTGCACTGCTATTCCTGACTTAGATTTTTTTCTTTTTTGGTCTTTTTGAGACAGGGTCTTTGTGTAGCCCTAGCTGGCCTGGATTCGCTATGGAGACCAGACTGGCCTCGAACTCACAGAGATCCGCCTGCCTCTGCCTCCCAAGTGCTGGGATTAAAAGCGTGTGCCACCACGCCCGGCTTAGAATACTTTTTAATGTGGGAATTAGTATTCATTTATTAGCCTGTGCTATGCCCCAGACTCTGTTCAGGCCTCATAAACCATCAGTTCTCAGAGGCTGCATCTCCATGAACCAGCACCCTGGGAACTCTGGAAATGGAGATTCTGGGTCCCATAGCAGACCCAGCATGGGGTGCTGGTGGGGCCCAGTAGTCTGTGATTACAAGGCTCCTCCACACTCCCTGGGTACAGCTCCCATGCCTCATTTCTGCTGCTGTTTCATCCTCACAACACTCTTCAGGGCATACTGCAGGGGATTTGTGGCTCCCAAGTCATTCTGGTAGCTTTGGCCCTGAGGCTCCATGCATTCCTCTGGCCTTAGGATGCAGTTGTGACTAGCTTGGGGCCCTGCCTTTAGTCTAGATGGAAAGGGCCCAGGGTGGCTGGTAGGGGCTGGCCCAGTGCAGTCTACGGACAAGGCAACTGATGCAGCTTGTCCTCTCCCACAGCCATTCTCAGGCACAGGATTTGCCAGTCCAGTTCTGAGACGTTAACCCCCAAAGCTGAGACCCAGTCATTGCCACAGGAGTTAAACCCAGACAAAGCCCAGAGTCTGCCTGTTGTGTCCACTTCCCAAAGTCATCCTCATGTTCCGTCCATCACCCTGTACTCCCACCTCTCACTATGACCCAGAGGCTGGGATGTGGAAGATTCACCCGGGCACAGGCCAACCCAAGCAGGTTGTCTGTAGAGAGTTTTACATACAAAAAAAATAATAAAAACCCGGCCGGGTGTGGTGGTGCACACCTTTAATACCAGCACTTTGGAGGCAGAGGTAGGTGGAGCCCTCTGAGTTTGAGGCCAGCCTGGTCTATATAGTGAGTTCCAGGCCAGCTGGGGCTACAGGGTGTCCCGCGCTATCGTCTCA